AGATAGGAAGATAATATGCTTGATTGATTTCTACAGGTCCAATTCATACACTACTCTGCATAATTTGTTGGTTTAAAAATTATATAATGGAATTAATACAAGAACAAAAATGGTCATGGTCAGACGTCATTTTCTTGTCAGTTAACAACTTTAATGCAATAGTGGGTTAACATAATATACTGACCTTATGCCTAAATTCTAGAAAGAGTCAGGACTTTCTAGTTAACATGCTTTTCTATCCATATAATACTATATCATAAACCAATGTTAACATTTATTCTAAATTGGTTATACAATGTCTTTCAAGTTGAGCATCACTTAAGTCCATCATTATTTTCAGGAAAAGGTAGATGGTTGGCAAATGATGAAATGCATGACACAATGTCATGATAGGAACCTGATGTACTTACGTGCAACATTGCAGTGCAAGAAAAGACTGGAACCAGAACTGTGGCATCATGACACATTTTTCATCACTGTCTTAACCAAAACTGAAAATGGACACGTATAACTCACCAAGAGAAACACAATAAGTGGGAAAAATCAGAACAAAAACAAAATAGGAAAACTAATAATATGGTACATATTTTCAATGTAAAAACTCCCACATTCAACTATGGCAGCAGAGATTGGGGAAATCTGCTGCCTGAAATTCTGCAGAGGTAAACAGTGTACAAAATATTAAACTAAATTGTTTGATTCAACATTAGAAAGTAGTTTATAAAGTTTGTCTCAATGAAATGTTGCAAAGATTGCAAAATATTTGCCAAGGGATGCAAGAACAAGGACAATGGATTGCATTAACTACAAATAAATAGAGAGGCTTTCTCATTCTTAAACACATGCATGCAAAAGTTTTCCCCATTCTCAGTACAAAGTAAGGGAAAAGTCTGGAATGCCTTTTGATGAATTAAGCTACCTTACAATGTATAGCAAAATAGAATGTTCCAGTGGTAATCAATGTAAGTCTAATATTCAAAACTTCTCCTGCTGAGATGACAAATTCCAGCAGATAGAAATTACATTATTCCAGTGGTGAAATGTAAAATTTGTTACTACCGATTCTGTGGGCGTGGCTTGGGGGGGTAATTTGACTGGGTGGGCGTGGCCAACTTTTTTTTTACTTTTAAAAGCATTTTTTCTAAAATCTCAGTTGTAGAAAAAAAAATGCTTTTAAAAGCCTCTGACTATCCCAGCTGAGCCGCGCGATCATCAGAGGCTTTTTTTTTCCTTTTAAAAGCATTTTTTCAGCCAAAGAGGTTGTAGAAAAATGCTTTTAAAAGTTAAAAAAAAAGCCTCTGATGATCACTTGGCTCAGCTGGACATGGGGGGGGCACAGAGATTTTTGCTACCAGTTCTCCAAACCACCTACCGCTATCGCTACCGGATCGGGCCATCTGGTCCGAACCGGAAGCATTTCACCCCTGCATTATTCCCCCAGAACAGAATGATCCTCCTACATTTATATTATTCTCAGTCACAATGCTGATGTAAAATGTACTGGAATAATGTGATGTCTATGGGAAGAAAGGTACATAGGAATCATTTTACTTGTGCATATTGCTCCTATTAAATAGGGTGGCATAGTTATGTTCCTGCCTTCCCAATGCATTTTCCATGAAATTGGTTGTAGATGTGAAGACCTTGGCACTTATTTGCTCTTCCATGAAGCTCTAGGTTTGTTCATATGCAGCCTACTTTTCCAAGAACAAATGTAGACCTCATTGACTGTAGAAGTAGAGAAAGGTTATGAAAATGAAAATATTAAAACAAAATTTTCCTAGTTAAACTTTTTGTATCGGTTCTTGAAGAATTTAAAATTTAAACTTAGTCACCTGAAGAACTACTCTCCAAATTTGATGAAATAAATAGAGACAAAGAGAGAGATAAGTACCTTGATTTACATGTTAAACATATGGCCCAGTGGAAGGCCCATATTAAAACAACATACCTCATGTGTGGCCAGAATCTGAAGATGACATTTAATACAGCATAATTTCTGACTAAAATGGTCCAATTGAGATCGGCATATGTGGGCCTGATTGAGGTAGATTGCAGGGGTGATAAAGAAATATAATTTTATGCCATTTTATTCTATTGTACATGTTTATATATTAAATTATTGTATTTTATCCTATCACTATTGTATTTTACCTTAGTCTCATTTTAAATTGTTTGTTTAGAATTTTATTGGTAATATGTGTTTGAACCTGTATGTTGATATGGTCTATAGGCTAATCAATCAGTCATATATATATATATATATATATTTATGTAAGTTTTCACGGGTATGTATGTGTGTATAGTTAATATTTCGGGTTTCTTCCCGTGTAATTGTGGATATATCCCTAAAAGGGTAGAAGCGACGTTTTGGCAGAATCCCATCTGCCATCATCAGGCTTATGTCAGCAGTCATTTTGCACTAACTGCCGTTGGTATTTCAAATCTGGTGCTGGTATTCTGGGATGGCTCCACCTATTCATTCTGATTGGTTGGGAGTCCCAGTATGTGTTTATTGGCTTGGCTTCGGGTGTATGGTCGGTTTTTCTCCACTAGGTGGCAGGGCTTCATCTTTGTGGCCAATGCCTTAGAAAAAACTGTTAACAAACCAAAATTATGGCTCAGATACGTTGATGACACCTTTGTGATCTGGCCACATGGAAGAGATAAATTGGAAAACTTCTTAGTATATTTGAACAGCCTCCATCCCAAAATAAAGTTCACCATGGAGATAGAATCAGAAAACCAGTTACCTTTCCTCGATGTATTAATTTATAAAAAATCTGATGGCACTTTAGGACATACCATCTATCAAAAGAAGACACATACAAACCGCTATCTCAACACCAAATCACACCACCATCCAGCACAAATAAACTCTGTTGCCAAAACATTAACCACAAGAACTAAACGTCTGGCTGATGAAGCACATTTACAAACAGAATTATATACACTAACTAATGTACTGACATCAAATGGGTTCTGTAGAAATAAAGTCATCAATATGATCAAACATACAACACCAAGACAGAATAAAAAACAACAAGAGGAACAAAACAATGGGAAAGCCATCTTGCCCTATATAAGGGGAACAACAGATAAAATTAGCAAAGTACTACATAAACACAACATCAAAACCATATTTTGCACAGATAGAAAGATATCGTCCATTCTGAGAAACCCCAAAGACAAAATAGAAGATCAAGGCATATACGAAATCCCGTGTGCTTCCTGCCCATCAACATACATTGGACAGACCAACAGAAGAATGAGTGTGCGCATCGAGGAACACAAAAACTCAATACAAAAGCAAGAACACACATCATCATTAGTTCAACATATAAATACAACAGGACACAACATTAATTTTAATAAAACAAAAACAGTTGCAAAAATAGAACATCTCAATGGCAGGATAATCAGAGAAGCAATAGAAATAGAAAAAAGACCATATTGCATGAATAAACGGGATGACACTTCACGTCTGCCTACTATTTGGAAACCTGCTCTCATAGATAGACGAATCTTAACACCATATATAAAACATAAACCAAACATTAAACAAAAAATCCCAACCAAATCATATTCAAACCAGCCACAAAGATGAAGCCCTGCCACCTAGTGGAGAAAAACCGACCATACACCCGAAGCCAAGCCAATAAACACATACTGGGACTCCCAACCAATCAGAATGAAAAGGTGGAGCCATCCCAGAATACCAGCACCAGATTTGAAATACCAACGGCAATTAGTGCAAAATGACTGCTGACATAAGCCTGATGATGGCAGATGGGATTCTGCCGAAATGTCGCTTCTACCCTTTTAGGGATATATCCACAATTACACGGGAAGAAACCCGAAATATTAACTATACACACACACACACACACACACACACATATATATATTTAAAGAATGAAATGTATATCAAAAGGAGCTGGCCTTCTGGAAAAGCCTTGAAACCTGATTCTATGAGTTAGCTGACCAGCCTGAGCGGGGATTCTATGTTGGAGGTGGTTGGTGGACTGACATAAAAGATGCCACCACTGGACCAATCTTGGTTTCTTTGCTGATCTCTGTACACAATGTTTTAATATTTTTATATTAAAACATTTTTTAAATTAAACCATATTAATTATGGTTTTAATTGTAAGCCAACCAGAGTTGCTTTACAGACTTAGAAAGCTAATATATACTTTATATTTAATAAATAATAATAATAAAAAAATCTTTACTGAGAAGAATCACAATATTTTAGGCTTGAAACATTTACTATACATATTACTATAGTTACATAAAATTCTATCTCCTAGCTGCCATCTATTTGGTTGTCCACATTTGCAGCATAGATATGGAAGCTCTAATTAATGCAGGCCTTGCTATGTAAACCAGGAGAGAAAACCCTTTTTTCTGTCAATACCCAGGTCGTTTTCCAGGATCTGTATTACCAACAAACAGGATCAGAGTTAAAAATAAACAAGATTGCCTGCTGCTCTCAAAAATACCAAGTCTCTTTTTCACACATGCACATAGAAACCATATAGGGGCATAGTTTTTCTCTCTATGCTTAGACAAAGAAAGATACAATTTTTGTGTGTGTAGTTCTCTAGGTCTAATCATTTCTTTCAATATAAAATCTGGGAAACATGCTTTCAAACATGGACAGAGCCTTTGCTTTACTGTCCACAAATCAGGAAATTAGAACTCAAAGGCAAAGCTTACACCAAAGAAATCCACTTTTCCTTCTTGGTTTAAAATTTTCAGCTCCTGTATAACTTCTATTGTGAACAATAAATTCATTGGCAATTGAAAAATAAAACATTGACAATGTTTAGCTTCTAGAGACAACCTTTTTAAAAGCAATGAAATGCATAATATGTTATGCATATTATGATTTAATCTAGTATTTAATGTAACAACCTGTACCAAATCCCCCACTCCTCAGTGATGATCAATAAAACATACAAGAGTGAATAATTCTTGATTACATAGCTACAAACCTGAGGCCGTATAATACTGTGCCATCTGGATGAAGGCGAATCATTCGATTCTTAACAGTAACACCGTGCACAAACGATTTCTTGTCATTCAGAAAGTAAGTATCAGGCACCCATAGTTGATCTGCTACTCTGTTATCGAGTGTAAGGTTGAGAGGAATCCCAGCATAGGCTAGTCTTTTATCTCGCCAGTATTGTTGAAAATACATTGTTAATGTGTAATCCTGGTGGAGAGAAGAAGAAAAACTGAAGTTAAGTCTTGGTTTATGCATTGAACTTCCAGAATCAACTTTAATATAATCTTAGACTTAGTTAGGTTGCTCCAAATAAAAAGATAATATGAATTTCAAAATGCATATAATTTTTCTTCCTAAAGGCCTCTTTGCCTAATATTGTATAAGCTTCAATGAAACAACTCTGGATTGAAATAACATACTAGCAAGAGCGATACTAATGTTGCTGCAGCATTTTTGTTTTTAGATTTTTTTCATAACCAAAAGAAGAAACAACTTCACAAAAATATGCCCAATACTTTAGAAGAAAAGCTATCTTTCATGGGAAGTAAATGTCATTACCATTCAGAGCTACAGCAGTTATATTTTACTTTCAGTGCTCATGAACAGTTTCTATTAGGAGCATCATCAAAAGGACAATATACCCCCTGGTGTTTTCTGCAATTTTCTGATGTGGAAGTTAGGAATAAATGCACTCTTTACTAGTGATGTTTTAATTAAAGCTTGGTTTTAGTAGTAATAAAACTGGAAAGTATATTTATTGACTTGTAATAAGTGACTTAAAAAAACTAACTTACTAAAACCCACAGGTATAATATAATGTATAATACCAGATAAGAAATTATAGTACAATATTAACAATTTGGTTAAACCAAAAGCTGTTGCTGTTGTAAAAGAAAATATATATTTAGAGAAGCACGCCCTAGCTATATTGCACTCTCCTTGAATTACATCAGATTTCCCCTTTAGAAAAGTCTGATCCAGAAGTAAAAAAAATTACCTTTCCAACTCAACAACTGAAAACAGAGCTCAAATGCTGTACTACAGAATTAGAGCTAGTTAGAGAAACAGTTGTGGGGGTTTTTTTTGGACACATGCCATTCTATAAACCAAATGGGAAAATAAAGAATGCACACATTCTCACCTATATAAGCTCTGCCTTATTGTAACCTTCAGAAATTCTGCACAAATTATTGACTTCGTTTATTTGCATCAGAATGCATGCTTGGCTAACTTTGAAAAACTTTGCATGTTATCGTAAATTATCTGCCACTACACAATAAAAGCTGTTATTTAAAGCCTATATTTCTTTTTTGTGTATATAAATATATTACTGAAGATGTATTTGGTAAGTATAAGCAGAAAGTAATAGATTCTTATGTCAAGCAAGTAGAGCCATTGCAAATAAAAGGAAACTTACTGACATAGAAGCTAAAGGCAGAACAACTTCATTTTGACATTTGAAGACAAACTGACCATAATAACACAGAAAACTAATTTCCATTCATAGGAACATACAGAAATGAAAGATTAGATAATCATTAATTGATTAGATCCCATACTTCAGTTACTATTATCTTAAGAAATCAAGGCTTCAAATTCAAATGCAGAAATAATTTAAATGAAGAAACTGCCAATAATATTGAAAGATATTAAAAGATTTCATTCCATCAAAGGCATGTACCAATGTTGCCCCTATAGGACAATATTATTAATATCTATTCATTAGTAAATAATGTGTAGTGATTAGCAAAGCAGGGTGATGATTTTTAATGCCTTTGGTGGAGAGACACAATACATTCATTAATTCATTAATTAAGGTATCAATTATTTATAGCATGAGTTTTAAACTGATATTTAACAACTGAGAGCCAAATACCCATTATGTCTTGAAAGTCATATACCAACTAAGCAGAAGTAAGCTTTTTACCATTCTGATCCACTAACTGAGAAGAAACCCTGAGGATATTGGACTATTTTTTCCTCTACTTAATAGAAACCTTTATGCTAAGATGCAATCACAAGAAAATGAATGTATGCTTATCCTGCAGTAGTTTTTATTTCCAAATAAATATATTGGAGAGTTCTAGTCCTGTTCAGTTGACATGCTAGCCAGAGGAAACTGTTCACTATAGACTCTTATGCTCAACATATGGAAAGAAAAAAAAGGAATCTGATGTTTGTGTATTCCCATAATATGATTGGTAACATTTTTCCCACTCTAGCACTTGGTAGAACAGCCATGAAGTTAAATTAATAGCTTGAAGCACTCCATAGCTTCAGTTGACTGTTGTGGTTTATATTACATTATATTAATTACATCACACTATATTACTATAGTGATTACTATTCATTGGATTAATAATATAACCATTAGATTTGACCATTTGGATCAAATCCAATTTATTAATAGAGGTTAACAAAGGTGTGTGTATATGCATATGTATGTGATGAATGATGAACTCAAACAATTGCATTTTAAAAGAAAAATACATTTTTTAAAAAAATGTTTGTTTAACTTAAATTCCTGCCTGAAGTTTTTGAGTCTGCAATGGGCAGTCTCAGCCTTGGCATTTGCATAAGGTTGAAACTGTGAAAAACGTATTATCTCATTCCATATTTGAATCCCTCTATTCCCAGATTAACATCTGAAGATGTAAGATTCAGAGGTAAAGCAGATGAGTATGAATTAGCCTTTAAAAAAAAAATCAGGGCACTGCAATGCTGGCATGCACATTCTACTTGATACAATCTTTGCCCATCTTTTCACAGATGGTAAATATTGTCTTTGATTTTCAAATGGTTCTTTGAAATCTCTACTAATTTTTCTATTTACAGCAAGAGCTTGCGTTTCATATAATCTATTGAACACTTTAGTCAAATGAGGATTTGGTTCTCAGCTCCTTGTCCAACACCTTATCCACTACGTTAACATTACTGGATTTTTCTTATAATGTGCCAAGTACTATATCCTACAACAATTTTACTCAACTTAAAATATTTTTGGTATACAACTTTCAAAATTCTCAGGTAATTATATTCAAATCTTACAAAATTAGTATCAATATTTGATATATATCAAATATATACATATGATCAATATATCAAAATTGTCATTTATATAATTTATCATTTTTGTCATGATAATGTACAATGGTTTTTCTCATCTCATTGTAAACATGCTGGGAGACATAATATAAATTGGATTAAAAATTGATTTCATAATGAGTTCAGATTACAAAACAATTTGTCATAAAATCCAAGCAGAATTCTGTCCTCCCAATTTATATTACTAGTGCATTCTCTGATGTGCAGACTATTTAGGGGAAAAAATACAATTGTTCCACAAGAAATAGTAGGCTACTGAATATCTCTGATATGTGTATACAATGCAATGATTGCTGATTTATATGTATTCAAAGTCTATCTCTAATTCATAATTGTAAATGGGTTAATAATGTAACAATTTTGTTCAAAAAGTCATATGTGTGTGTGTATACACACACATATACATACACACGTGTGTGTGTATACACACATACATACATACACATACATGGACACACTTATATATGCATATACCAAATGTACTAGAACTAGTGTTTAATTCTTTGATCATTTTGAAATTACATGAGGGATAAACCCATATAATCTGAAAAATGTTAACAGCTGTTTCTAATTATTATCTTTCAAAGCCAGTGTTTCCATAATATGACCACATACATGATAAATTACACTTGCCTGAAATGAAGGTAAAATAGGCAATACAAAAACAAACAGTATGTGGTTGATTAAAATAGTATGCTTTCATGTAGAAGCTAGAAAATTAGTCACAACAAATGCTGTCACTTTAAATGCAAAACAAGACAGATGTTTTCATATTCTACTGAATTTATAGACTATCCCCAGTGTAATTTGCAATAGTTATAATGTTTAGAAAACTTTTCCATTCATCCTTTTATCACAAAATATTGTTGCAATATTCTTAACTAACTACTGATATGACATCACTTTTTTTTTTGTCAGGCAACAAATTACAGCTAGTTATGGTAGATGTGAATACAATTGGTATAAACACCCTTGAAAGGCTACATTATTGTACAGGAGTTTATTATATAATGCACAATAGACATTTCCATATTTGGATATACATAAGTTAACACAGAAATTATTTCTGACTTCCACCTATGAAAATAGTATCTACCACTGTTAGTGAAAAGGTCAAGAAGTGATAAAAAAAATGAACATCTGAATAGATAGAACATTAGTCATAGATCAAAATACAAGGAGCAACCAAATATTTACCAAATTTACAATAACATTTACACCTTCCTATCTCTCCATTAGTGCAACTTTTTCCTGATTGTAGTTCAATTTCAACAACAGTAGCCAAAAACATACTAAAATATTTACTCTTTGGCATTTCATTTCTAAATTTAAATTGTAATTATTGAGTAGTATAGTAAGCTTTAATTTCAATGCACTATATATATTTTGACTTTTAGCTACAGCTTCAGGATTCAAAACAGATTATACTGATAAAATACAACAGTATAAAACTGACAAGCTGAAATTATATGACTAACAAGCAATATTAAGTACAGGATGATTTTAACCATCCTAGGAAGCAGCAAATCAAAGTCTAATTTATTAAAAAAAAAAAGGAAAAAATTGAATTAAAATTGAATAATATATTTAAAAAATTTTAGCCAGGAGAAGTTAATTAGAAGTAGAGAATTTTTAGGAGTGTGCCTCATAATTAAAAGTGATCTAATTAACTGGCTACTTTTTTAAGGCTAAGAAGTCTGATTCTTCAAGGTCATTAAAGTTATTCAGTATATTCCAAAATGAAATATGTTGATTATATAATGAGGGTTAAATACCAGTATTACTGGATTTAGTGTGGTTTCTAGTTTATACACAAAATTAGGAAATACTCTGAAGTCAGAAAGAGGTCCTGAGAATCATTCCAGATAGAAGCATGTGAATTTGGAAATTCTGAGGATTAATTAGAATCATATGAAAGCTTTCTATTAAATATTTCTATGAAGAATCATAGAAATATGTATGATTATAAGAGGACAAGTCAAACTTATTAATCATTGCATGTTATTTTAAAAACTACACAAATGGTGTGTAACTAACACCAGGATGATAATGACCTAGAGCAGTGATGGCTAACCTTTTTGCTGTCGCGTGCCAAAAGTGGG